AGATGTTAGGGGGATGTGGCAAAAGCACCCACCCCACACCACCCCAGCTTGAGAATACGGGGCCCTTGTTGCAGCTCAGTGGTCATTGCTGGGCTGGTTGCAGGTGTTGGAGGTGTGTGGCCAAGGGCCTCGGCCCCCTACCGCCCCAGCTTGGGAGAGCCCAGGGCACTTCCTGCAGCAGCTCAGTGGTCAGTGGTCATTGCTAGGCTGGTTGCACGTGTCAGCAGGGCGTGGCCAAGGCCCTCCTAATAGTTTTTTAATGGATTTTTTGAAGTACCTTCATATATATTAATCATATCTCCAAGAGGTTAATGTTCATTTTCTAAATTGCCTTGAGCATTAATTAGTAATCAGTCTGAAGTGGTGTTTACTTTGAAATACTCTTAATATCAGTATAAGTTAGTCAAAATGTCAGGAAGCCTGAATTTTAAATCAGAATTTTATCTGTGTCTGGTGTAATATAAGTCAGATTAAATGTCTAGTGAGGATTAGAATGACCTTAGTGATTGTAGTTAAATGAGACATGATCTCCTGGCGTGTATCTTAGAAAACAGGAGTTTTAAAAAGAACTCTCATTCTTGGCAAGTTTGTATTAGTGGCTACCAAGGATATAGTTTTTGTTTTCTAGTCTGAAATTAGAATAAACTTTATGCTTCTTTGACGGGTATGTGTGTACCATTTGGCCTTGAACATTTTTTTTTTTTTTAATTCACAGTTTTCAAGGTTTATCTTGCTCGTTTTTCTTTTTTGTAAGTAACTAAAATAATCTCTTAAGGATTTCATTTCTTTCTAACTTTTCATATGACAGATCTTTTCCAGCTCCCATTTTTAAGCCAGATGATTGCTTCTACTTGTTAGTCTCCAGCCACAGCCCTGGTTCCTACTTCTTTCTTTGGTTTTTATTTCCCTAGTCCTTTCTAAACTACTTGTTAGTAGATGCTGGCCTTCTCTTTAAATTATAGATTCTTTCCTATAATTATTTCTGCTGTGTTTTATTATGCTGCCTGGTTATTCTCTCAAGTATATTGTTATACTTTGCAGATTTGTGTGTGTGTGTGTTTCTGGAAATATAAGTGTACTTCAAAAGTTCATGGAAAATAGAATTAAAAGATAATATGAATCTTTCCATGAACTTTTTGAAGACCCCTCATAGTATCTTTTTTAAGAACTGATCTATTTCATTACATTATTTTTAATGTTTTATAACTTCTAATTATAGTGCATGGTTTACCTATGAAAGTCAACTTCCTAGATAATTGTTTTAAGTAATTGATTGCAGATGATAGTTCTACATTAGACATAAAGAAGGAAGCTATTTGTTAAAATAAATTGAGTTAATATTTTTGGAGTGTGTCTTTAAAAACATAATTGATAACCTTTGCCCAATATATGAATTTCTGGAGTTTGTTTTGACATTCTTGATTACTTTTAAAGATGTGTGTGTGTGTTTGTGGGTGTGTAGAGTTTGGAAGCATAGAAGGGGGAAACAGTTACTGGGATTACTGAGAGAGCACATAATTAGATTGTAAGAGCTGCCCAGGCCAACCTAACCTCCTAGAGTAACCAGGCATCTGGAGAGCCTGTGTGGCACTCTCTGAGAAGTTACTTCAACAAGAAAGTTACATAAGACAGTGAGAAGGTAGGTAGCCCCTGTCCTGAAATCTAAAGTTTTACTGTCCTATGCTGTGTCTTAGCCTAAACTCCATTCTTCTTACCTTTTCTTTAGAATTTAGCTTAAATCCCAACCCAAGCTTATATATGTGGGCTTTCTTCCTATCTTTGTCTTCCTGTCTGTTTTGAATGTTTAAGAAGAGGTTATACTCAAATACTCACTGGAGTCTGGCAAGTAACACTGGGTGGGGATTTATGTGAGTTGAAGTGCCCATGCCTTATCTAAAGGCATCAGCTGCCACTTGTCTTATCTGGTGTTTGACAACTGGTATTGCAGGCGTATTCCTTCCAGAGTTTCCAGATTTTTCTTTCTGAAAATCCAGATTTGTATATAATTTTTCAAGTGTAGTCAGTTAACTCACGTTGTTTTTATAAACAGTGAATGGTCCAAATGTGTGTTGGCCAAAATTGGCCCACAAGCCATAAATTTACAACCACTGTTCTAGCACAATTATTTCTAATCCAAAGTACACAATAAAAATGACTTCTGAGCTTTTTTGACTTTATGTGCCTAAGTTCTAACTCCAAAAATGGAGATTCAGCAGTTTTACTAAATTGTTCTGTAACATCAGTGCTGTCCTTTTCATGTAACTGAGGATTACCACTGTCATGCTCATACACACTAATTTTGGCTTATTTAGATATTCCACTGCAGATCAGGCTTGAGTTTGTCCTGCTATATACTCGGCACTATATTAAGACAGTTAGTTGGACCAAGAATAAGGAAAGTTGCTAACTACTCCCATCTGATCTCAACTGTATACCCATTTAGATATTCCACTGCAGATCAGGCTTGAGTTTGTCCTGCTATATACTCGGCACTATATTAAGACCGTTAGTTGGACCAAGAATAAGGAAAGTTGCTAACTACTCCCATCTGATCTCAACTGTATACCTTTTCCCACAGGTCGTTAGTTTTGAGGCTGAATGCTTCCTGGGTATGATAACTATGCAAAATCAGAAAAAAAAAATTCTAATCAACTTGCCTTAAGGGTTACAATTAGACCTAAGTAAGGCATGAGACCTGTTGATTAATATGTGTGGAGTCCAGTGACCTCTTTTTTGTAAACTTTTGGAGACTTTATCAACTGCTTTTTAGAATGTCACGTCTGGGCCGGCCCGGTGGCGCACTGGATAGTGCGCCGCTTGGGAAGCGCGGCGGCGCTCCCTCCGAGGGTTTGGATCCCACATACGGACCAGTTCCCGCTCACTGGCTGAGCGAGGCGCGGGAGCGACACCGAGGGTTGCGATCCCGTTGCCGGTCCCCGGTCCGGCACGGGGGCAGCACTGAGGGTTGCGATCCGTTGCCGGACACGGAAAAAGACAAAAAGACAAAAAAAAATAAAAAAAAAGAATGTCACGTCTGTGAGGTTCTGCCTAGGGACATCCATCTTTATCTGCTCTAATCCCATGTAGTAGGCCATGTTTGAGGAACATGTTTTATTCTAGTTCATGGAAACATTTCTGTGAACCAGCAACACTTGAATGTATTGGTCCTTAGAGGTTTTGGTTCTTGGCAGTTTAAAGTAGCATAAAAACTACTATTTGGGGAATCCCTGGCCCTTAAGGCAGATCTCAATGAAGTTTTTGCTGAAAAGGAGGGTGTGTGTGCTCTGATGCAGTCGTTATAGACTTATCAGAATTTAGAGCATTCATGTCTTGAAGTACACCAATGTCTAGGCTGAGTGGTCATTACTTGCTTATGTAGTGGTTATATTTTATACCAGATTATAAAATTTCAGGAGGACTCTATTCTCTCTTAGGAGAAATTTCCATGGAGGACCATACAATCACATCATTTATTAATCCCAACTGACTTCCTTGACACTAATCATGTTTTCAGCTTCAGTACCCATATCTACCAGGTATCTAGCAGCCAGCTTCTAAATAAGTTCTCACCTCCTCTACCAAATGAGAACATGTGTGTCCAAAGGTCACTCTGGCAGTGATCTGTATATCTTTTATCTTGGGCTAAGTTACGCTGCAATACCAAATGAGCCTTTCAGTGACTTACAACAAGGTTATTTTTTCCTCACATTATACATACAGCATGGGTCAACTGTGGCTCTGTTACACATTGTCTTCGTTCCAGGGCCCAGACTGACAACAGTCCATGTTTGGGATGTGGCTAGTCTATGGCAAAGGAAAAAAAGAAGCATAATGAATCATGAGCTCTTTCTTAAAGCTTCCTTTCAAAAGTGACACATAACCACTTTCTACCTACATTTCATTGGCCAAAGCAAGTCATATGGCCAAGTGTGATGTCTGGGAAGAGGGGGAGGTATGAAGAATATTTTAAACAATAATATATCTAACACAGTTCTACTTTCTCAGAACCTTACAGCTTGGGTGCTAGGTATCTGTTGTCAGTCAACAAGAGTAGATACTATGTGAAATCTGTGCCCGAATACCACAGCAGCAGACATGTGGCTTGATGCAGCAGCTCTCTTACCTGTCCTTAGGCAATGAGACGGTAATTCTTTTATTTCCCCAGAGGACCTCCCCAAAGGACTTCTTGCCATCTCAGAGATAGATAGTAACCTCAATAATGGTCACAGCTCTTATCAAGAACCATTTTCCTCCCCTTGCCTATTCTCTCACTTTCTCACAAACTGCACAACTTCCATGTATGCATGCTTCCTAGGACATAAGTTGAACCATTGGTTCCCTCTTCTGGCCTTTGTGGAAAACTCACAATTAATGTTGTTACATATATTGTGCTTGTTCTTAAAAGCTACAGTTTCTAACTTGAAGTTTCCCCTATCATACTTAGCTCTTTTTATCAGTTCCTGATTGGACTTTTGCCTTTTCACCTTACATCATATACTCTGACAGTGTCTCATACAGTGTTGTCTCTTCAGTGATGATCTCAACACTCAGATTTTTAATCCTTGTCACATCAGTGAGTTCATTACTCTCATGAATCATGTTTTATTTCTACATAGAGTAGGCCAGTCACTTAAGTTCGTTAGACTGTACCAGGTGTTTTATCTGTTTAACAGCTCAGTTTTCAATTCTGAGTTTTCCTTGCCTGCCTTATTCCATGACTACCCATGACTCCACTTAAAAAAAATTTTTTTGGAAAGATGTGTACATTGTTAGAGCAAATTAACAAATATATAAGTGTTTACAGATTTGATAAAGTAGGAAATTAGATTTACTACTTCCAAGTTAAGAAAGTTTTCATTAAAAATGGCACTTGCAAATAAATATGGTATTTAAAGCCTGTCTCCTATAAGGCATTTTAAATATCTGACCCTAACTTTTAAAAAAACAATTCTATAAGACAATTTCCAAAATATTTATTATTTTTCTTTTTTCTTGTCTAGATCACAGGAGACCCCTGGAGATGGACAACCTCCAGCTTTACCACCCAAACAGTCTAAGAAAAACAGTTGGAATCAAATTCATTCTTCACATTCTCAGCAAGATCTGGAAAACCATATTAGTGAAACATTTGATGTTCCATCTTCCCCTGAAAAACCTACTGTAAGTAGCTTCTTCAGATATTCTCACTTTTCCTTGAATTTTTTTAATCCTAAATGAAATCTCTTTTGCACTGTGGCATGTTTTAGTTGTAAATTATATTACAGTACTTTCTCTTTTTTATCATATTATTACAGTACTTTCTCTTTTTTATCATATTAGTGGTTATGAACTGTGCCATGGTGTAACTCAACTGTGGAGTTCCATTTTGTCATCATTTATAAAATTCTTATTGCTCTAGAAGTTAAGTTCTTGACAAATTTATGTTAATTTCAGTTTGGCAAAACATACCTGTACTACCACTAACTTTACTATATAATTTCTTAGCACAGACTCTTTATCATTTTCATCAACCTTTTGAAATTAAGTGCATGTTCTTGGACTTTATGACCACTCTCTGTTCTACAAAATAATTTATGAATTATTTTAGTGCTTTTGCCTGAAAGAACATGCTTTTACTACAACAAAATGATAAGTTGTTAGAATCTCCTGGTTTATGAATTTTTCATTGCTCTCTCAAGTAGATATAAATAAACCGGAAGTGAGATTGTCAGTAAATTTCAAGGATACACTGTGTTCCTGAGGAAGTTCCTGAAGACAGAAATATGGGTGTGTTTCAGGAAACTTAAAGGGAAATAAGAGAAAGAAATAAGATGCAGAGAAGGGAGGGTCCACAGCAAGTATTGATTGACATGTAGTGCCAGAAGTCTCTAGTGGCCACTATACTCATTGCCCTCTCCTTTCTTCACCCACAATCTCCTCACATTATCTAGAATTAAAATCAAGAGAACACCATTCTATTCTCCCACTCTTTGTGCTCCACTACCATGGATACATCAAAAAGAGATCAGAATTCTTGCCAAAAATGAATGACAACTCTGGTGCTAGCTGTGTGGTGGTTCTTATATATCATTCATTCATGCATTCATTCATTGATTCATAGTTATTAAACTCATGCTGTGTGCTAGGCACTTTGGTGGTAGTGAGACATGGTCCCTACTGTTACATAATGTACAATCTAGTTTGTCTTTTCCTTCAAAAATTATTCAATACCTGTATGTGCCATGCATTGTTATAGGCTCTGGGGATATAACTGAACAAAATAGAAAAGAAAAAAATGCATGCCTTAAAGGAACTTGTGTTCTGGAGATAAGGAGGAGACAAATAGTAAATATGGTAAATAATTTAAATATATAGTGTATTAGTGTAAATGCTAAGGAAGAAAAATAAAGCAGGAAGGGGACTAGGGAATTTCAGGAGTAGTGTTGCAATTTTACATACTGTGATCTAGGGATAAACTTAGTGATAAGCTATGTAGATACGTAGTAGAAGAGCAGGTAAGCTAAGGGAATAGCAGGTACAAAGACAGGACTGTAACTGATATAGTCAGGGAACACCTTGGGAATCAATGTGGCTAGAGGAAAATATGCAAATGTGGAGTAGATAGGTAAAGGAGAGAGCCAGATCCTAAAAGCCTTCCATTGTAAGGATTTTGTCTTTTAACCTTGAGTAAAATAGGAAGCAAATGGACATATCTGAGGAGAGAAGTAACATGATCTCACTTAAGTTGTAACAGAATCACACTGGCTATTGTGTTTAAAATAGATTGAAAGCAGGGCAGAAGTAGAGATACTGGTTGAGATATTGCAGTATTCCAAGCAAGTAATGGTAGTTTGTCCAGGGTGATGGCAGTGGAAGGAATTAGATATAATTGTATTCTGAATATATTTTTAAAGTAGAACTAACGTGATATGCTTATGGACAGATGTGGAATACTAGAGAAAGAGAGAAATCAAGGATTAACTCCAGTATTTTCAGCCTGAGCAACTAGAAGGATGAAGTTGACATTTACTGAGATGTGAAAGGCTACAGATGGCCCAGGTATGGGTAGAATATTAGGAGCTCAGTTTGGAACATGTTAAATTTGAGGTGCCTATTAGGAATCCATTTGTAGGTGAAAACAGTTGGGTACGTGATTCTGTAGAAGTCTGAGCTGGAGTTATAACACTGAGAGTTGATGGCATGTTGATGGTATTTAAAACCATGAGACAGAAGGCTGGTCTGTTCACTCACTGAGTTAGAGCCTGGTGTTGGTAGCACCAAGGTCAATGGTTCAGATCCCCATACCGGCAAGCCACAAACACACACACACACACACACACACACACACACACGACAGTAAAAATCACAAAGGAAGTTGTGTAGAGGTTGCAGAAACTGAGCCTTTGGTCCTCCAAATTGTAAACACGAGGGAGGTGAAAGAAACCAGCAAAAGAAACTGAGAAGATAAATGCAGAAAGATAGAAGGAAAATTAGGCAACTGGCTGGTGTGAAGAAAGAGAGTGTGACCAACTTTGTCAAATGCTACTGGTAAGTCAAGTGAAAAAGATGAAGACAGAATTGAACACTGGATTTAGCAGTGTGAAAATCTTTGGTGTCCTTAATTAGAATCGTTTTGGTGGAGTAGTGGGGATACAACTTGACTCTAGGAAGATAGAATTAGAGGAAACAGAGATAGCAAATATGGACAACTCTTTCAAGAAGTATAGCACCAAGAGGAAGGAGAGAAATGGGACAGTAGCTGGATGGTGAAGTGAAATCTAAAGAGAACTCCTTTTCTAAAAAGGGAGAAATGAGAGTGTTTCCCAGAAGGAGGGGAAAACAGATACTGCACTAGAGTACAGAATTGCTGGCAATGTCCTTGAGTATGGAAGAAAGGATGGGATCTAGAGTAAGTAGGAAGATAATTTGAGGGCAGTACGAAAAGTTCTATTATTAGAAATGATATAGGTAATTCACAGAGTATATAAGAGTAACTAATTAGAAGAGATCATCTCTGATATGCGTCTTGAAATATAAATAAGAATTATCCAAATGCTTCCCTTCAAAGAGCAGGCATAGAATTACTAAGTGAAGGCTAGTAACAAATAGCCATGTTTTGAATGATTCCATGTATGTGAAATGTCCAGAATAGTCAGATCTGTAGAGACAGAAAGTAGATAAGTAGCTGACTGGTGCTTTGGAGACTAGAAGGTAGAAGAATGGTGAGTGACTGCTAATGCATACAAGATTTCTTTTGGCACTGATGAAAATATTTTTAAATTAGATAGTAGTGATCTTTTTACAACTCTGTGACTAGAGTAAAAATTATTGAATTATACACTTTCAATAGGTATCATATCTCAATAAAGACATTTTTAAAAACCGCATATATCAAGTAGAGAAGTATCATTTGAATTCATGTACCGTGTATGAGCACTTGCTAGGCATCAAGCTTTGAGCCAGGTCCAGGGCTATAGCAGTTAATAAGTACAGACCTGGCCCCTGTTGTTCCTGGCACTTTTAGTCTAGCATGTACTGACAAGAAGGCATGAGAGAATAATATCTAATTTGGGTAACTGCAAGCTGTTAGTCAAAGAAATTTACATTCCTGAACTAGCATTTTTATTAGAATTATGATTCTTTATATACTGTAGATAATATAAGCATACAAAATGCATGCTTCATTCATATCTGAAGGTCAAATTATAAATGAAGAAAATTACAAGTTATTTTTGTCTTTTTAAGCCTAATGGTGGTATACCACATGATGATCTTGTTCTAATCAGAATGAAACCGGATGAAAATGGAAGGTTTGGATTCAATGTAAAGGTAATCAAGAATTTATGTTGTACTCAATTTTTAAATTAAGATGTTCTTATTTGGGTAATATTTGAGTAATATTTGACTTGCTCTCTTTTTAAGGGAGGATATGATCAGAAGATGCCTGTAATCGTATCCCGAGTAGCACCAGGAACACCTGTGAGTTTCTAAATTTTTCAAATAAATCCTGTTCTCAAGAATATGTATTTATTACTTTTTATTAATTTAAATAAGGGGAGAAATTTAATCATTTCTTTTGATTTATCAAGTATCAAATGTTGTTGGCTAAATCTCTTAAATTGCTGAGAAGTTAGTTTTTATTTGTTCCTGTCTCTAAGAGTTTTTAAAGTCCTTGTTTTTATAAAGAAGATATTTATGATTTTTCAATACTTTTAAAGTGTTATCAGATTCTATTAAAATAACCCCCTTAAAAAACAGAACATAAGGTCCGGTCCATGGCTCACTTGGGAGAGCGTGGTGCTGACACCACCAAGTCAAGGGTCAAGATCCCCTTACTGGTCATCTTTTAAAAAAACAAACAACAACAAAAAAAAAAAGCAAAACATAGAGGGATGGTTCTGTAGTTCTGTTAGTTTTCTTAGTTTTTTATTAAAACAAACAACAACAACAAAAAAAAGCAAAACATAGAGGGATGGTTCTGTAGTTCTGTTAGTTTTCTTAGTTTTTTATTTAGAGTAGTTTAAGTACATTATATTTGCCTTTCTCTTTAAAACATTTACTTTAAATGGAAATACAATAAAGATAATTTTTTAAACTTTATTATGAATATTCTGAACAAAAATACAGAAAACTTTTTTTTTTTTTTTTTGGCAGCTGGCCAGTCTGGGGATCTGAACCCTTGACCTTGGTTTTAAAACACCATACTCAACCAACTGAACTAACTGGCCAGTCCATAAATAAAGAAAACATTGTATGTACCCATTATGAGAAATCCCCTGTTAGTCATCATTCAGCTTCAACAATCATGAACTTTCTGCTCACCATAGGACAATTTTTAATTAATTCTGGGTGCATTAACTTTATTGCTCTTATGTGTAACAAATATTGCTTTCAAATTTCCATTTATGTTGTTATCTACTCTGCTTAATTTCATTTTTCTTACCTAAATGATCTTCAAGTGCCCTTTATTATTTAAGTATCTCTCTGTCCTAGGAAAGATATGAATCAGCAGCTTGAGAGAAAGAGGCCAGCTATGCTTTTTTTTTTGGTGCTTTGCAGTAACCTCAAAATTGGCTTGAAAATCACAATTGAGATTGAACAAGGATATTGTGATATGTGGTTTTGGTTCTGGTTTTTAAGGACCTTGTTGGTTGCAAATAACTGGGTACTCATGGAATACCCCTGGCATAAGCATAAGCATAAACACAAAATGTATCCGGTGTCGCACAAAACCCAATGGCAGGAATGCAGTCAGACCTCTGGAAGGAACTTTAAAAACCATCAAGCCCGCTTTTCATCTCTATTTGTTTTTACATGATTATTTCAATCTTCTCTTTCAGGACAAATCAGTTTGTTNCCCCCTTAAAAAACAGAACATAAGGTCCGGTCCATGGCTCACTTGGGAGAGCGTGGTGCTGATAACACCAAGTCAAGGGTCAAGATCCCCTTACTGGTCATCTTTTAAAAAAACAAACAACAACAAAAAAAAAAAGCAAAACATAGAGGGATGGTTCTGTAGTTCTGTTAGTTTTCTTAGTTTTTTATTTAGAGTAGTTTAAGTACATTATATTTGCCTTTCTCTTTAAAACATTTACTTTAAATGGAAATACAATAAAGATAATTTTTTAAACTTTATTATGAATATTCTGAACAAAAATACAGAAAACTTTTTTTTTTTTTTTTTGGCAGCTGGCCAGTCTGGGGATCTGAACCCTTGACCTTGGTTTTAAAACACCATACTCAACCAACTGAACTAACTGGCCAGTCCATAAATAAAGAAAACATTGTATGTACCCATTATGAGAAATCCCCTGTTAGTCATCATTCAGCTTCAACAATCATGAACTTTCTGCTCACCATAGGACAATTTTTAATTAATTCTGGGTGCATTAACTTTATTGCTCTTATGTGTAACAAATATTGCTTTCAAATTTCCATTTATGTTGTTATCTACTCTGCTTAATTTCATTTTTCTTACCTAAATGATCTTCAAGTGCCCTTTATTATTTAAGTATCTCTCTGTCCTAGGAAAGATATGAATCAGCAGCTTGAGAGAAAGAGGCCAGCTATGCTTTTTTTTTTTGGTGCTTTGCAGTAACCTCAAAATTGGCTTGAAAATCACAATTGAGATTGAACAAGGATATTGTGATATGTGGTTTTGGTTCTGGTTTTTAAGGACCTTGTTGGTTGCAAATAACTGGGTACTCATGGAATACCCCTGGCATAAGCATAAGCATAAACACAAAATGTATCCGGTGTCGCACAAAACCCAATGGCAGGAATGCAGTCAGACCTCTGGAAGGAACTTTAAAAACCATCAAGCCCGCTTTTCATCTCTATTTGTTTTTACATGATTATTTCAATCTTCTCTTTCAGGACAAATCAGTTTGTTCACTAATGCAGCTTCATCTCTTGAGCCACTCCAGATAAACATACAGTCTAAATAAAAAGAGTGCATTTGGTAGCAGCTTCAAGCCAAGTGCTGTAACATCACTACCACACACTCAACTCAAATCAGATTGTGACTCCTAAATCGCCACTAAATAGAAATTGTATAGCTACCTACCACTATTCAAATCCTTGATCCATATGGGTAGGATATGATTACTGATAAGTTCCAGATTTATATATTACCAACTCAGTAATCTCAGAGTGACTAAACCTCAGTCTAAATTATAAACTCCTGGGAATTAAACGCTTAATAGATCCAACTTGGATCACATGTCCTTGTTTGAAAAAATTAATTGTGGTGAAACATGGGACCAGAGATATTATGTATAAAATAACTCCTGGAGACAAACTATGCATGTAAAGGATGGGGACAAAGATGGGGAAGATAATCCAAAATTATCTATTTAATATGTATTTAATGGGAAATATGTATGTGTTTGGGACTGCAGATGAGGAGATGAAAGATTCCCAAATTCTCATCTGTGATGTAGAAAGCTAATAGATAATGTCTAAAATAGTGAAGAAATACAAAAGAGAGGTGTTATTTAGAGATACAGAGGTAAATACAAAAGGATGTAGCTGAAATGTTGAAAGAACTTGCCTCTAGAGACAGGGAGATGGTAGAGAGGAAGACAATAGTTTCATAACAATCTTACAGACCTAGTCAACTCTTTAAACTGTGATTTTATAACCGCTAAAAACAAAAATTTAAACTAAAACTTTTTTTAACCAATTATATATCTCTTCACTTGATGATTCCTCTTTCAGGAATTAGAACAAAGTAAAGCAATAGGAATTTATCATTTTTATGTTATTAATTTAGAGATCACCACAGTCTTTCAGTTGGGAACCACATTTTAGATGATTGGGGGAGAGGGACAGGGTTTCTAATATTTTTTGTCACTTTTTATATTGGGTACCTTCTGAAGTGGATAAAATAATTCCCAATTAAAGTCATATTTTTCTTCCTGTCTGATTATCTTTTAACCAATAGCTGTTGCTCCAACAAAATTCATTTTAACATACAGTTTATTTAGACTTCCCAGATCATAATGAAATGCAAATAAAAAATTCTTTTTTTTTTTTTTTTTTCCTTTTTGTCTTTTTTTTTTCGTGTCCGG